TGTGTGTGTGTGTGTGTGTGTGTGTGTGTGTGTGTGTGTGTGTCTGCAGTCAGACAAGGTAGAAAAATGTGAAAGAGCCAGTTCGTCCTGCTGAACAGACTCCACATCTTTCTGTTTCCACCCCCTGTTGTCTCTTTAGGCCTGATGTTTCTTTTGCCTGCATACTTTAAAACAAAATGTCGCAGTTGCTTCATGCTCCACCCAACAGGAAAACAAATACAAGACATTTTCCTGCCTTCCAACCTCCAAAGAGCTTAAACATGCGAATAAAATATATTTGCTTTACAAAAGCTTTAATCGGGCGCTCTTGAGGACTTTTGACTCTGACAATGTGATGCCTGACTTTCTGCTGTGTGGGGCTGAAACACTTGAATGGTTAAAATCAAGTTGGTCCAGATGACATGTGACTTTTGAAGCAAGTGAAAAAAAAACACCTATAAAAATAAGGAAAGTTTATGAAAAAGTTTCTAAATGAGGAAGACTAATTGAATCAAAACAGCAAAAAGAGATATAAACAAACCAAAATAAAGTTATTGTTAAACTAAAAACTTGAATCTGTACAAAAACATCTAATAAACGGCATAAATCTTAATATGAAAGGACACAAACAAAATAAACTTTGTCCTCTTTAAAATCTGCTTGACAAACATGCTCTACATTTCTATTATAAAGCTATGTTTTAGTTTTTAGCTGTTCTTCAGGTTTTAGCTAACCTTTTGCTACCTTTAGCTTTCATTTTGCAACTTTTAGCYGTTGGTTGACTACTTTTAGCTATTTTTCTGCTGCCTTTAGATGTCCTTTTGACACTTTCAATTTCTAAATATTTAGCTACATTTAAATTGGATTTTACTACCCTTTTAGCTTTTAGATAGCTTTTTGCAACTTTTGGCTTTTAGTATTTATTTAGCCACTTTCAAGGTTCATCTATTATTCAGCTTTTTATAGCCTTTTATTACTTTTTACAATACTTTGCCAGTTTTAGTTTCTAAATGTTTTGATACTTTTAAAATGTATTTTACTACATTTAGCTTTAACCTTTTAGCCTGTTATTTTGCAACTTTTAGCTTGTAATTGTTCTGCCTTTTTCTAGTATTTTGTTACTTTTATCTATGTTTTTGGCACTTTTAGCTATTTTGAGACTTATCTAGTTTTTTTGCTAAATTTAAAGTCCAGCCTTAATTTATTATTATTATTATTGTTGTTGTTGTTGTTGTTGTTGTTGTTGTTTTTGTTGTTAAAAAAAAACTTTAGTGGTGTTTCAATAACATATTAACAATTTGTCTTTCAGTTTTTTGCAAAACCTGTAATAGATTTTTTTGTTTTTGTTTCAGGAGTTTCTTAAAATGGAAAATGGTGAATCAGGATAGGAAGGGTCTGTTCCTTCAGTCATATTTATATCTTCTGTCTCTCTCTGCCTTCAGCTGAGATGCAGTGTTTGCACTCTACATTTATCCTGTTTATGTAATATTTGAAACTTTTTGACAAACTTTTTGTGCTTTTTAAATGATAAAACTTACATCTGCTAGTGCCTTTTTGTTTCACTATTTTAGTTTTTTTTTTCTTTTTACTTCCTCCTTAACTGGTTCATTGTTATTTCTGTGGGAAACACCTATTCAAACTAAATGAATATGGTTCCAAAAAGAGGGTGGATCTACACTTTGATGCAGAACTAATTGCAAGAGTTTTATCTTTCAAAACATTGCTTTCAAAAACCGTCTTGTAGTTATTTATTCAGAGAACAAACTGTAGTTCTGCATTTATGGAGAGGTCAAAAGCAATGTGTAGAATCAATTAAGGTGAAGGAAAAATAAAACATTCAAGTGTAGACTTTTTAAAATTGTTCCAACCTTTATGTTGTTGACTCTTTCTGTGGTATTAAAGAGAAAATAACAAAACTGCCTATTTTAAAATATTTTAATTATTGGTCAGTTGACTAGTTTTACAAATAGTTAAGTTGAAGGTAATAAATAGGGGGAAATGTCAGCTTTTTTATGCACTTGTTAAAAAATATTTTAGTGAAACCAGACAGAAACATCTGTTCAATCCTGTTTCAGACACTCTAAAGGTCACAGTTTAACAACTGTCTCATCTGTAAAGGATCAGTTCCTTTTACTCAGTCGCTGGAGCGCCTACATGATGGTCAATTAGAGAGTAGACCTGATTAAACCTCTACCTGACCTGTTAATGCTTCTATTTTTACATAAAAACTTAATTTAGTTCAAGTCACATTTGTTGTAAATTGGCTCATATTACAAAAAAAGACCAATAGGGTTGTTCTGCGTTTTCACTGTTAATATGACATCACTTACTAGCAGTCAAACCCAAAAGAACGCATATTTGGAGTAAAAGTAGCAGTAAAGTTGTGCAAAGATGACAAATGCTGATTAACATTCTGCATGAGAATCTAAAAGTTGTGCCTCTTTGAGATTTTTGCAACCTTGCTTTTCTGCATTTTGCAGAGTTTTTTTCCCCCTCCGCTTTCTAAATGTATCCTTTCAAGGAAACCATCTGAGAACCAAAAGCATGAAACATTTGTGGCTTTAGGTGTTAGTTCTACACTGACACAAGACTGTAGTGCAGCCGTTAATAAAGTATGAATTGGCATCATGCAAGTTTTGATTTTAATAATAAGATAATGACTAGGTAACACTTTCATTACCTTTTTAGATCGTTTTCTGATTGCTTTCTGATTATAGTGTTGGAGTCTTATGTTTATTCTAATAGGAAGCAAATGTTTAAATCTTCAATAATGGTGAACCATGACCTAAAATTATTTTTAAAAAAGACAATTGTTTATGATGATCTTAAACATGTTTATTTTATCAACCAGTCAGTCGGGGTCACAACTCTGACTTATATTCTGTGGATGAAAAGTAAAAAAAAAATCTACTGTTTTTATTTGTTAATACAACATAAAACTAAAGGAAATCATGCACAAACAGCACCACCACATGTATAAAAGAACCATTTAGAAAGTGCATTCATATGAGAACAAGTTAAAGGGCGCCTGTGCTCCTAGTTTAAACACCAAAAGTGAGTTCATGTAAGCCAGTTTTAGCAAGACTTTCAAAGAAAAATGATGCGTCACACACAAAAAAATATGTCACCAAACTAAACTCCTTTTTGATCAGACTTTTAGCAGTGAAACTTCCTGTCTCCTTGCGATCACAGCTGGCTGATGGAATGGGTTGGTGTTTCTCGGGTTTTCCTCTCTGTGCTCTCCACCGTCTCTTCTTGAGGCAAATGCAAAGCTTTCCTGCAGATGTTCTTAAAGGCCGGGCTGGAGAAGTAGTAAACCAGCGGGTCCAGCACGCTGTTGAGATACGTCAGACTGATGGTGACGTAGAACACGACGGTGATGTGCTCCATAGAGGCGCAGTCCTTGAAGCTGAGCATCTTGAACCAGACGAACAGCAGGGTTATGTTGCTCGGGAGGAAGCAGACGATGAAGAGCACCACCACCACGATGATGAAGTACAAAGCCTTCTTGAACTTGGCCTGCTGGGCCAGCTGCCTCTTCCTCAGGTGGCCAGTGATGTGGAACGTGCAGTAGAGGATCACGAGCAGGGGCATGTAAAAGGAGAAGAGGAACGTGAACTTGTGCCAGGACAGGTTGCCTCTGGACTCCGTGTCAACCATGAAGCTCTCACAGTAGGTCGTGTTGACGTGCTGCAGAGTGAAGACGTGAACCGTCATGGAGATGGTGACCAGCCACAGTCCGAGCGCTCCCAGCGTGGCTTTAGTTACACTCAGAGAGTTGACAGGGTGATGGGGGTGCACCACTCGCATGTACCTGTCCACGGCAATGGCCATCAAGAAAAAGGTGCTCCCGCTGCGATTCATGGCCAGCATGAAGAGGCAGAGCTTACAGAGCCCGCCGCTGAACGTCCACCGGATCCCCAACAGGTAGTAGATGGCACGGAGCGGCAGGCCCAGGGTGAGCATGAAGTCAGTCACGGCCAGGTTGAAGAGGAGCACCGTGCTGCTCTTCCACGGCCTCAGGTGGAAGCAGAAGATGAACAGAGCCAGCCCGTTTCCAAAGAGGCCCAAGAGGAACTCCATCATCAGCACAGGAGGCAGCGCCCTGACCAGCACCGGGCTGCTGAAGTTGCACAGCATGTCGAGTTGTTCTGCTCCTTCGCTGTCTGCAGATCAAATAGTCACTGTGAAGGATGTTCGTCCTCTTTAATAGGGAACCACAACTCAGAAAAAAAAAAAGTGAGGTGAGACGTTTGTGTTTTACAGGAAACCAGTCTTTTGCTTTTGAAATGCTAAAGCAAAACTTTTTTTTAATAAAATTTCTGGGAAACTTAAAATTGTCATGTTTTTACAGTCTTTATTTTGAAATACCGTAAAGCATTATCCACATGCGATAAATAATTATACAAATCCATTTAACCGCTTTCTAAAAAGTACAAGTCAAATAAACTGACTGGAATAAATTAAAAGACCCTTTAAATCTTTTGCAAGGTATTTTGAGAAATAATTATGCTTTTATTAATTAGTTCACTTCCTGTTTAAAATGCAACTATTAATTCCTCTTCTTAGTTCAATTTCTATGAATAGACATGACACAAATAGCATCTCAGCGCTGGTGTTTTTGTGGTGAGTTCTCTCTCTCTCACTTTGTGGTGAGTTTCTCTCTCTTTCTCTCTCTCTCTCTCTCTCTCTCTCTCTCTCTCTCTCTCTCTCTCGTTTGCTGTTCTAAAATGAAATGGAGGGACAGCTGAGTGAAACGGAACATGTTTAAGGTCAAATTTCAATCCATATAAGCAGAAGTACTGTATGACTCATTTAAGAAGAGCTTAATGTCAAGATCATTTACATCATTTGTTCTAAAGTTGGACTGAGGGGGCAGCAGCTTGACCACGGAGGCCCGTACATCTTCTGCAGCCTCCTCTTCCAGCTTAGCAGGGAGGGAGGACTCCCAAGATGTTCCCAGGTCAGCCGAGAGACCAGTCTCCAGCATATCCTGGGTCTCCTCCCAGTTGGACATGCTCAAAACGACTAGATTCCCAAACCACCTCAGTTGGCACCTCTCCATGCGGAGGAGCAGCGGCTCTATTCAGAGTGTCTCCCAGATAATTGAACCTCCCACCCTATCTCTAAGGGAGAGTCCAGCTACTCTTTTTGACCACTTGTATTGAACATCTTACTCTTTTGATCACTACCCAAAGGTGGGACGTGCAGTGAAGAATCTGAGTTCTTAGCCTAGCAGCTCAGCTCCCTCTTCATCACAGCAGACCGGCACAGAATACGCAGATTTGCAAAAACTGCATCAATCTGTCTGTCATTCTCATGCTTTATTCTTTCCTCACTTTAAACAAAATCCCTGAGATGCTTAAACTCCACCTCTTGAGGCACCTGCAGCCCATCTGCCTACAAACCCATCGGCCCACCCTGGTTATGATACAGTTTTCACGAGCCGCTATGAAACTTTTGGTCTGGTCAAACTTAAAATATTTCTCCAAACTGAGGCTGTTCAAAGCGGTATCTACAACAGGTGAGATATTTATTGTTCACTACTTCTCTACAAAACCCAACTTCAAAAGATTGATGCCTTTTCAAGAGACACCATCATTTTATTTACCCTTTTTTTTTTTTTTTTTTTGGCGGGTTTGGGTGTGTTAACTGAACAAAAGCTTATCTACTAAAAAGCCTGATGGTGGCAGCACCACACTGCTTTAAAGAAGTGTTTATTGAATTGAAAAAAAAGGGGGGGGGGTAGAAAAATACTAGGTTTACATTTGACTGCTCTTACAGGTGAACATAAATGCTGTCAGCAATATTAAAATCAATTAAATCACAAAATGAGGACATCATTGTGTGTTTGCCGTTACATTCAAGAGAAAAAAAACTAAGTGAAACATCTGATGCATAAACCTGTGACTGAAATGTGTCATTCAAAACTACTCATTTATCTTTACCACAAAATAAACAAACTTTGTGCATTGATCAGCTTTCAGTATTGAATGTCTCTTAAACACATATGCACACACATACTTTATGTTTACTGTTCCACATTTGTCTACATTACTTTCAGTTATTATACAGTATCAAGATTTCTTATAATACAGAACATGAAAATGCCAACTTGTCACAAACAGTCCAACTAAAGCATTAAGAAATTGTTAGTCTCAGTGACTTGGAACCAATAGTATTGATGATATTTAAGATGTGATGACCCAAACACTTAATAATAATAATAATATATAGACGGCTACCACTGTCTCTCAGCTACAGACGACACGCCACACCCTCAGTCCCTGATTATCATCTCTGGGGATTTCAATCATGCCTCCCCCTCTTCCACTCTCCCAAACTTACGTTGATTGCCACACAAGTGACAACAAAATCCTGGATCTGCTGTTTTCCAACACCAAGGAGGCAGCTCATCACCCCTCCACCTGCTTGGTCACTCAGATCATAATCTGGTCCTTCTCCACCCCACCTACACCTCTATTGTGAAGAGGAAACCCCCCACCAAGAAGGTGATAAGGACTTCAGTGAGGCCCTGAGAGACTGTTTTGAACGTACAGACTGGCAGGAACTCTGCAGGCCTCACGGCGAGGACATCAACGCCCTGACCCACTGCATCACCGACTTCATGACCTTCTGTGTGGAGAACACTGTGCCAACTAAGAAGGTACAGTGCTTCTCCCACAATAAACCATGGGTGACCCCAGAGCTGAAGACCCTGCTGAACGAGAAGAAGAGGGCCTTCAGATCTGGCAACAAAGAGAAACTGAGGAGAGTGCAGAAGGAGCTCAAATATAAGATCCGTAGGGGCAAAGAAAGCTTCAGGAAGAAGATGGAGGAGCAGCTCCAACAATACAAAGTCAGAGAGGTCTGGAGAAACATGAATAAAATCTCTGGCCACTTCAAGGACAATGGAGGAGCCACAGGGCCTGCAGATCGGGGGTGGGCTAATGATCTGAATTTCTTCTTCAATAGATTTGACTCTAGCCCGTTGATCACCTCCCCCACCCTCCAGCTCCCAACTAGCCCCCACTGTATGCTGCTCCTCCACTTTCCGCTTCCTGCACTCTCCTCACCCCCACCTCCCACTCCAACCCAGCCTCACATTCACCTCACAGCTGATCAGGTGAGAAATCAGCTCAGGAAAACAAAGATCATGAAGGCAGCAGGACCGGACAGAATCAGCCCCAGACTACTCATAGACTGTGTGGACCACCTCTGTCAGGTGGTCCTGCACATCTTCAACCTGAGTCTGGAGAGGGTTCCTGATCTGTGGAAGACTTCCTGCGTGGTTCCAGTGCCAAAGATCACACATCCCAGGGAGCCCAACCACTACAGACCTGTGGCTCAGACTTCTCACCTGATGAAGACCATGGAGAGGCTCATCCTGCACCATCTTTGTCCTGTGGTGAGCCCAGCACTGGACCCCCTGCAGTTCGCCTACCAGCCCGGCATCGGGGTGGAAGACGCTGTCATCTACCTGCAGCACCGATGTCTCTCTCACCTAGAGCAAGCAGGAAACACTGTTAGAGTCATGTTCTTTGACTTCTCCAGTGCTTTCAACACTATCCAGCCTGCTCTGCTGAGAGGGAAGCTGGAGGGAGCCAGAGTGGACAAGTAGCTGACAGCATGGACCATCGACTATCTCACCAACAGACCACAGTATGTGAGGCTCAGCAACTGTGTGTCTGATGTGATAGTCTGCAGCACGGGGGGCACCACAGGGCACGGTCCTCTCACCCTTTCTGTTCAGTTTGTAGTCGTCAGACTTCAGGTACAACTCAGACCACTGCCATCTTCAGAAGTTCTTGGATGATACGGCCATTACTGAATGTGTATCAGACGGGAATGACAAGGACTACAGGGGGGTCATCAGTGACTTTGTTGGTGGGTGTGAGACCAACACTCTCCAAATCAATGCCAGCAAGATGAAGGAGATGGTCATTGATCTCAGGAGGAAGTCACCCCCTACAGCACCGGTGAACATCCAGGGAAAAGGCATTGAGACAGTGGACTCTCACAAGTACCTAGGTTTTCGCCTCAACAACAAGCTGGACTGGACTATGAACACGGACGTCTTGAAGAGCCAGAGTTGACTCCACCTACTGAGGAGGATGAGGTCCTTCGGTGTCTGCAGGACTCTGTTAAAGACATTCTACCACACGGAGGTAGCATCTGCCCCTCTCTATGGAGTGGTCTGCTGGGGGGCTGGAGGTACTGAAAGGGACATGAACAGGATCGACAAACTGGTACGGAGGTCAAGCTCTGTGCTGAGATGTCCTCTGGAGCCTGTGGTAGTGGTGGGTGAGAGGAGGATGTTNGTATAACACATCATGATGTCATCAGTTAGACTGTATAACACATCATGATGTCATCAGTAGACTGTATAACACATCATGATGTCATCAGTTAGACAGTATAACACATCATGATGTCATCAGTTAGACTGTATAACACATCATGATGTCATCAGTTAGACTGTATAACACATCATGAAGTCATCAGTGACTTGGACAATTCACCTACACTGGCATCAGTAATATGCACCTGCATATATATTCATTTATGTACTGTACTAGATATATGTACATTGTTACATATCACGAGTATAGTGTATTTTTTGTTTTGTTTTAACTTATCTTTCTTTATTCTATCTCACCCTCTCCTGTATTGAGCTGCAGTAATGTGCAAATTTCTCCACTGTGGGTTCAATAAAGTTTTATCTTATCTTATCTTATCTTATATACAGTATACACACAGACATACAGTATATACACACTCAGTGACCTGTCAGAACCCCCCCCAGATCAGAGCACCTGTTTGTGAGCAGTTGTGAACATGTGTGTATATACAAGATTTCTCCAATAGAATATTTAATAGTGACTGTGGAGGACCGAGACCCAACCCCCAAGACACGAGGCAGACATAGGGAAGACCAGAGCCCAAGGACCCGAGAGGGATCCCGAGCGCAGAGCCCCAAGGGGCACCCGCACTGGAAGATCCGCCCACCCACCCCCCAGATCAGACCATAGGGGAGAACTGGGGGAGTCCCCCCAGCGACCACATGCACAGCCCCCGGGGCCAGCAGCGACAAACTCATAGGCCCCACCGGCACCCGCCATACCAGAGCAGACCAGATGAGAGATTTGCCCCCACCCTGCTGGTTTGTCCGAGGGCCCACTGTTACACTGCCCCCTGGTGGGGTGTGTCATTGCTGGTGGTTCTCAGGGTCTGGGGCTCAGCGCTGGGGCATGTGCCGGCCTGGCCCTGCCTGCTGGGGCTTGAGTCCTCTGGTCCTGTTGGGCTTTGACCTGTGGAGGG